GAACTTCTGAGCAGTAACTTAATGAGATTGTGGTGGCTTGATTAAAAATATGCTAATTTAGAAATAGATGTTATTTTTAGAGTGGTGAATACATTCAAATTTGATGCTTAATTAAAAAATCTGAATTATCGAGATAACATTTTCTGGCAAGACTTATTTCCTGGCTTGAACAACAGTCAATAAAATGATACACACAGAGACCACAGGCAACAAAAAATGAAAGATAACTGTAACTTCTGATTTCTCTTATCAGTTCAATTAGACTTGTTCACTTAAAGCAAAGTATTTGCAGTGCTTCAGTGTGGACGGCCTGCTTGGCATACATAAACTGCTACTGTAACTAGCTAAGGGTGTTGATATGAAAAACCTGAACTGAAATATTTTAAGAAGTTATGCAAATCGGCAAGCACGTTTTAAGTGTCGGTTCACACTATAAAAACGCAGTTCCGGATGCGCACTTCTTGGTGCGTTCCGGTGCATTTATGATACATCTTTGACGCATTCCAGTGCGTTTTTCATCCATTCCAGTTCATTTTTCCCCTCTTTTTCTTCAACGTATATAGGGACATGGGAGTTCCAGTGCGTTTGTGGTGCATTCCAATGCGTTCCAATGCATTTTTTATGCGTTTTACTGCGTTGCAGTACAGTTCTATGCAGAAAAAAATGCAGCATGTTCTACTTTTTTTCTGCAACTGGAACTGCAAACACTGATGTGAACTATGACATTGACAACCGTATAACCTACTTTTTGTGCATTTTAGATGCAGAAAAAAAGCAACTGAAACGCACGTAGTGTGAACTGGCCCTAAAACACAAAATAATGGAACAGGAGAAAACTATATTTTGCCATAATAGACAGTCATTTAGCCTATTTGATTGTGTTGTAGAATGAGAGGTCTAAAGCCCTTAAAAATGACAATCATATTGAATATTACTACCCATTTATATGTGGAGTCACTTTGGGTGGGGGGTCCATGGAACCCAGCCAGGGGTGGACTGACAACTCATGGGGCCCCCGGGCAATAGGGGATCATGAGGCCCCTGTGTCCTTGCCCAAACTCAAAAAAAGCCTATGAAAAAGGTACCAGGGGCATCTCATGGGGCCCCCTACTGACCCCGGGCCCTCGGGCAGTGCCCGAGTTTCCAAATGGTCAGTCCGCCCCTGAACCCAGCTCACTTTGGAGAGGTGGGGAGACCCCTGTCTCAGCTTCCCATATCCCTCTTATGTGTAAATCACCCTGTGCCTGTTAGGGGTACAGGGTGATCTGTCCTAATATTGTGTGGGCTTTGTCTCAGACTGTGTAGACATGTTATGGAGATGGGTGGGGGTTGTTGATTGTTTAATGTCTTGTGGCTGCATCCCATTGTTCTATTGTTTGTCTGGTTTGGGAGCAAACTATTATGGGATGTATCTGTTTATGTGTATTAGCTTAGTGGGGTAGTGGGGGGGGGGGGTCTCCAGCAGCCCTCCCTCCTGATGGGACTGTCTGCTGGTGTGAAGTTTGAATACCTGTGTGTCTCTTGTTACTAAATGTAGATTGCCCCACCCTGTGTCATTATGCGGGGGGAGGGAGTTCCCCTGAGTGTATATATCTTGTATCTGTGTTCAAATAAAGTAGTCTACCTCCTGGTTTACTTCAAGACTGGAGTCGTCTAGTCTTGTATGGTCAGCTGTGGTGTCTGTTGTCGGTGTTCGGACGGGGAAGCGGTATTCTAACAAAAGTACTCAAGCACAGTCTGGGTCGGTTCCGTTACACCTTCAGACCAAATAATTCCACTGGATTCAAAACTGTGAATCCTATTCTTCAATAGAAACAGGTGTGTCACCTTTGTTGATTCTGCTGACTGACCTAGACTTGATTAATGTGGAACGTTAGGAAAAAAATAAAAGAGAGCAAACAGGCAGGAATTGTAATGCAGACAAAAACATGCTCTTCCAACAACCTGTTGAGACAAACATGATGACCCACAATTGATGATCCTCTCATTACGTACTCTTGGTGCTGCTGCTGAATGTCAACAAGATGTCAGTGACCAAATATGGTATCGGCCATCTTTATTCAGTGAGGTCACCTGGGATACTGAAGAATCTCATTCTTTTGATATTTTTATTTTGTTTTTTTATTTTCATTTTTTAATTTAAATTTTTTATTTTATTTTGTTTTTTCTTTAATTGTATATTGCTGGGAAAAGTTCAAAATAGAAAGTCCTTCCAGTTCTTGTGCAAAAACTCAAAATGTATTTGATAATAAAATTACAAGCAAGATATCAGAATACAAAATGTAATATTATGTCAAAAAAGTAGTTATGTTCTTGAGATAAAAATTGTATGTATAATGATGTACAGGTGAAACTCAAAAAATTTGAATATCCTTGAACCCTTGGTACCACGTACCTTGGTACGTGGGGAGGAGCTTCCGGTAATCGCAGTGATGTCATTTCCGGCGTGGGGGCCATATTGGAACACCCTGTGTATTACCCATGCAGTACACCCATAGCATGTGGTAGGAGGCTGGAAGATTCATCGTTTTGTGAGTGGAAATCTACTTTTTATACCTATTACCAATAAAAAATTACTGGTTGCACTATGGAGGGTCTCTGCTTGTGTCTTACTATGACCCTGGGAGGAGCTGGCTGCTAAACTGGTGGACGCTGGAGGAGGAAGATATTTTCTAGAGAGTGATCCATACTGATAGGATTGTGTGATCCTGAAAGCGCGCTGGCCCCTTGGGGTCTAAGGAAGGAGGTGAGGGGGCATTTTGGCTGTTAAGGATTGTCACGTGTGCATCACGTACACTGCACATAATTTTGCATGAAGAGTGGAGTGTGAAGTTCATCATTAAGCACAGCATCATCAGTATTATTATTATTAACTTTGGACTTTTCTCGTATTTTAACTATCGTTTATTCCTTTGTGCACTTTTTGTGTGGCACTGTTTATTATTAGTATATATGTTATTATAGTATATATTACTTTATTTTCACGTTTTGCACGAGATATTCCCCATGAGGGAATACGTGCATGACACTGTATATGTATTGAGTATCTTGGATTTATTTTGGGGATTGAGTATATATTGTATTACGGTTCTATTAGATACTAATTAGCGCTGCACTCATAATTTTTGCAAAATCTGGGATAACACATCCAAATCTTCTGTCTGTGTGGTTTATAAAGAAAACACATACAAAATTTTGATCTTATGGTACAAAACTCCCGAGGTTAATCCGAATGCTTCTTCCGCTTGCTGCCGTTGTGGGAAAGATTTTGGCTCTCTCTTCCATATTTTTTGGACTTGTGGATCCATTGTCTCTTTTTGGGAAGAGGTTTTGTCTTTTTTACAGTTGTTATTGCATACCTCTCTCCCTTTTGAGCCTCTATATTTTTTACTGAGCCTGCCGTTCCCAGGTCTTCCCAGAATGGCCAGGAAACTCTCCACACATATTCTGACTGCGGCTAGAAGAAGCAATCCTATGTGTTGGCTATCCGCTATACCTCCTGCGATGTCAACGCTGTTTAAAATTATTGCTGATGTGAGACGGATGGAGTACCTGACTGCTATACATGCCTGCTCGACTGCTGTGTTCGAGGCAGTGTGGCACCCATGGGACAAATTCTCCTCCTCCCACCTTTCTACAAATGTACAGTTCTGATGGCCTCCCCATTCTAGCTATATGACATTATTATGTTTGTAACCATGCAGACCTCACCATCGATGTGCTCCTTCTTTCTCCTGTGTTATTTTTTGTATATATATATATATATATATATGTGTGAAAATCAATAAAAATTGTTAATATATATATATAAAAAAAAAAAATACTATATTAAGGTAGCTTTAGCAGTGATGAATGTCTTTTCATCCAACAATAAGCCCATTTTGATCAGTAAATAGAAGTTTGCAAGTAGTTTGCTGTGGCTGTTCCTGTTCTTGCTGATGCAAAACTGCCCTGCCACTGGCCAATTTCTATAGGTCTATAGGCCATTTTATAGACCTCCGATGGTACAGCAACATAAATCTGGCCAGCATCAGGACAATTTTAATTGGCAAGGTTGTCTAAAATTTACTACAGACAAGGAGTACAGGCTGGGGCTTTACAGCAAAAACTAAGATACTGCAGAGGATGCAGCAGTTTAAAATTGGGCAGCAGAAGGACAGTTTTAATCAGAGATAAAAGGTCTAACTAGTGTATGCCTAACTTTTTTATTTTTCTATGGTGAGAGAACAATGCAATGAATGTAGGTGATCCAAAGTGATTTTAGGTGCATGATGCTCTTTTTTTACTTTCAAAAGATGCCGCAGCATGCCATGAAGGCATGTTCCAAACATAGAGGTTAGTAACAACTGATTGTACTGTGAGCATCCCAAACTAACAAAAGCCCTATCGACAAAAAATAAAAAAATAAAAATACCCACAAAATAAATGACAACCCCAAAATACCACCCTGAAACAAAAGCCCAACCCAAAAAAAGGAAATCTTTGCAAAAAAAGAAGTTTAATCTGAAATTATACTCTCCAAACATCCCATGAATTAAAAAAATAAAAGGAAAGTCTTGTATCAAAAAGAAAAAAGTTTGCTATAAATTAACCACAAAATAAAATGAAAGACAACCCCTCGATGATAAGAAGAAAAAAGGCTGTAAAGGGGTTGATTGCCCACAGGACGAGCAATCAGAATTAAATTACAGTGATTCTAAGCCACATTTTATGCGGTTTTGTAGCTTTCCCAATGCTTTTGCTACAACAGCATTCAATTCACTAACATTATGGTTGCTCTCTGCCTCCCCTCCTCCCCCCTTATTGATCATTCTGCTGCCCATGTTTTAAAGGCCAAGCAGTGGATTATGGTTTTAAAAATATTCTTCTGGGTGAAATGCACACAAATTTGCAGAAACTGTGCATCTCAAACCCACAGGATTTGTAATTCTCAAACCCGTGTTAGTGGCAAGCCTGAACTTCATCCCTAGTCATTATTTGATATTTAATTGTTCTCATGGTCCAGTAGTTTTCATTGTCTGGTAGCAACGAGAGATTGGTACTACAGCACATGTTGTCAAGATCACTTTAGGCCAGGGGCGGACTGACCATTTGGAAACTCGGGCACTGCCCGAGGGCCCGGGGTCAGTAAGGGGCCCCATGAGATGCACCTGGTACCTTTTTCATAGGCTTTTTTGAGTTTGGGCAAGGACACAGGGGCCCCATGATCCACTATTGCCTAATGAGTTGTCAGTCCGCCCCTGCTTTAGGCAGTCACAAATGTGTTTAGGGCAAGTTAAAGAGTACTTGGGCTTGGGAAGCTTTGCACAAAAAGCAAGTAGAGTGCAAAGAACTAATCATCAGTGTTGCCTATAGACTCCCTGAAGCTTGTTTTTTGCCAGTTACTAATTCACCATGCCTTGTTCTGCACTTGGTGTCTGTCTGTAAATGGCCATCATGGTAGAGGTTTGTTGTATCAGATGAAACTGCCTTTTTGGTGACTGGTGAACTAATGACTGGTGGTGGAAATATTTATAAAGTAGCAAGAGAGGTGGGGTGAGCACAGATCCCCAGCATGAATGGAACAGAAGCTGGTAGATGTATTCAAGTGTAGGTGAGACTAGCAATCACAGACACAGGAGTGCCTAGGCATACTCACATGCCAAGAAGTGCACTGTTATTTTTCAGGAGGAATTCCAGAAAAAAAATGAAAGGTTTTTGAGAGTAGTGCCTAGGCACCCTGATTGTTACCTATAAATAGCCAAGTTTTACTTTTAAATTCAGGTCCATTTTACATTCAGATCTCCGTTTGCATTATCACAGATTATTCTAACATGCATCAAGTAGGGCTTGATTGATAAAACACCTAATAAATAATTAGTGAATGTGCCAAAATTAAATTCAATATTATTTTTTAATAATAAAAACTGTTGAACTCAAATTTTGAATTGCAATTGGATTGAAGTCAGTGGAGGGCTCTTTGTGATGTTTGCTTTTGCTGCTCGACAAGATGTTGTCCCTTATACAGTGGGGCAAAAAAGTATTTAGTCAGCCACCAATTGTGCAAATTCTCCCACTTAAAAAGATGAGAGAGGCCTGTAATTGGCATCATAGGTAGACCTCAACTATGAGAGACAAAATGAGAAAACAAATCCAGACAATCACATTGGCTGATTTGGAAAGAATTTATTTGCAAATTATGGTGGAAAATAAGTATTTGGTCACCTACAAACAAGCAAGATTTCTGGCTCTCACAGACCTGTACCTTCTTCTTTAAGAGGCTCCTCTGTCCTGCACTCATTACCTGTATCAATGGCACCTGTTTGAGGTTGTTATCAGTATAAAAGACACCTGTCCACAACCTCAAACAGTCACACTCCAAACTCCACTATGGTGAAGACCAAAGAGCTGTCGAAGGACACCAGAAACAAAATTGTAGACCTGCACCAGGCTGGGAAGACTGAATCTGCAATAGGCAAGCAGCTTGGTGTGAACAAATCAGCTGTGGGAGCAATAATTAGAAAATGGAAGATATACAAGACCACTGATAATCTCCCTCGATCTGGGGCTCCACGCAAGATCTCCCCCCGTGGGGCCAAAATGATCACAAGAACGGTGAGCAAAAATCCCAGGACCACACGGGGGGACCTAGTGAATGACTTGCAGAGAGCTGGGACCAACGTAACAAAGGCTACCATCAGTAACACACTACGCCGCCAGGGACTCAGATCCTGCAGTGCCAGACGTGTCCCCCTGCTTAAGCCAGTACATGTCCGGGCCCGTCTGAAGTTTGCTAGAGAGCATTTGGATGATCCAGAAGAGGATTGGGAGAATGTCATATGGTCAGATGAAACCAAAATAGAACTGTTTGGTAGAAACACAACTCGTCCTGTTTGAAGGAGAGAGAATGCTGAGTTGCATCCAAAGAACACCATACCTACTGTGAAGCATGGGGGGTGGCAACATCATGCTTTGGGGCTGTTGAAGATGAAACGTGGCTGGGTCTTCCAACATGACAATGATCCCAAACATACCGCCCGGGCAACGAAGGAGTGGCTTTGTAAGAAGCATTTCAAGGTCCTGGAGTGGCCTAGCCAGTCTCCAGATCTCAACCCCATAGAAAACCTTTAGAGGGAGTTGAAAGTCCGTGTTGCCCAGCGACAGCCCCAAAACATCACTGCTCTAGAGAGATCTGCATGGAGGATGGGCCAACATACCAGCAACAGTGTGTGCCAACCTTGTGAAGACTTACAGGAAACGTTTGACCTCTGTCATTGCCAACAAAGGATATATAACAAAGTATTGAGATGAACTTTTGATATTGACCAAATACTTATTTTCCACCATAATTTGCAAATAAATTCTTTCCAAATCAGCCAATGTGATTGTCTGGATTTGTTTTCTCATTTTGTCTCTCATAGTTGAGGTCTACCTATGATGCCAATTACAGGCCTCTCTCATCTTTTTAAGTGGGAGAACTTGCACAATTGGTGGCTGGCTAAATACTTTTTTGCCCCACTGTATGTAGTTTATGGACAAGGTTCTTTGGCAACAAATGCAAGGATGTCAAAGTGCACCCCCCTCCTCCCCACAAAAAATGGCACCATAAAAAAAACCCAAATTAATCTAAAAGGATAAAATAAAGGAAGGGAATCGATGAAGGCGTTAATAAAAAAATAAAAAATAATAAAAAAAATAATAACAAAAATTTTCACTACACATTTCAGAGCTGAAAAAGCTAGTTAGCATTAACTAAAAATGCTTTGATTTATCCCTTTTATAAAGACATTAGAATCATGGTTCTGGTACAAAGCATTTTTCAAATTGCCAATATAAACACACATGAAAGCATATTTAAAAAGTTTACATACAAATGATAGAAGAAAAATAGCAAAAATAAAATACTGCAGGAAAAAGTGAATGAAGAAGGTAGAAAGGAACTAAAATGTTTAAAAGAATGTCAAATTGGTAGCTAAATTGTGCAGATTACATTGGGAGAATGCGGCTCACCACTTGTAATCATCAGAGCTTCAGATACAGGTGGTTGTCACATTTTACAGGTTTTTTCTTGTTGTTTGATCGAAGACCCCATATGTATTATGTAAAAATGGCAATAAGAGAGAAATTTACAAATTACTAGGTGTAAAATTTAGCCCTGTATGACTAATAAAATGTAATACCTGGTATATACACAAGGTGTGAGAATTGAAATCCTGGAATGGCCATGGCATACTGTAGCTCTATCATGGTGAGTCACAAAGGCATTGGCACTCAAACCTCTTCTGACATGTTCTAACTTGAACATACCTGGATCGCAGTCTTTACGGAGTAGTAGAAGATAGAACATTTGTGTGCTTGGTCTGTTGGCAGAACATAAGAGACAGAAATCTGAACCATTGGGTTAACATCTTGTCTCTAAATATCACCCAAACCCTACTCTCTGCTCCTCGCAAGACCTCCTACTCTCTAGCTCCCTTATGTCCTCCTCTCCAAGACTTCTCCAGGGCGTCACCCATCCTCTGGAACTCCCTACCCCAATCTATCAGACTACTCTACTTACTGTTAGGCGATCACTGAAAACCTATCTCTTCAGGGAAGCCTATCCCGCCCTCAGCTAATACTGGAATCATCTACTCTTCCAACCACTCCATCCCCCACAGTTATTACCTATTGTACCATTCACCTCTCCCTCCTAGATTGTAAGCTCCAAGGAGCAGGGCCCTCTAATCCCTCTTGTATTGAACCATATTGTTACTGTATTGTCTCCCACTATAATGTAAAGTTCTGAGCAAACTGTTGGCGCTATATAAATCCTGTATAATAATAATAATAACATCAAATTAGCAAAAAGTGTGAAACTTTAGCTCTGTAATAGCAGGCTTTTCCATGAAAAAATGCATGTTTTTGAACATCATAAATGGTGTGAGGAGGTGTAGGAAGATGTCCATGATGACAAGTGGACAGCCAAAAATGCAAAGGATGGATGCAAATGTGGAAAGAGTGCATACCATTGTATGTTAAGATTGAAGACTGAGTGTGCGAATGATGGCAGAAGAATGATGGCAGAAGATGGCAGAGCATGAGCAGGGAAATAGTGCAGCAGATTCTAAGATTGGATTTGGGAATGAGAAATATTTTCGCACAGATTGTGCCTCAAATCTTGGTAGAAGATTTCAAATCTTCAAATTTCATCCGATCTTTTGAAGAATACTGAGGTGTTTGATAGAGCTATTACTGATCCATCCTGGATTAAATTGTCACAACTTGCATGTGCACGTGACACATATAATAATACATTTCCAAATCCGAAGACAACAGGAAAAACAGAGGTGAAAAAGTGCAGCAAAAAATATGATGGTCCAGGGCTAAAAGACCAACAAATAGCAGTCCTTAGCTTATATCTGAAACAATAGAAGGTAGATAAGTGTTTCTAGAATGAGGTGAGGCATTTCTAGGGTATTTGATGGAGACTTTTAGTGAATTAAGGAAGCTCAAATAATGTTATATCATAAACCAATATATTCTGCTTGGTATAATCCTTTTACCTTCTTCCTCCAGATCAGGGGCGGACTGACAATTCATGGGGCCCCCGGGCAATAGGGGATCATGGGGCCTCCGTGCCCTTGCCCAAACTCAAAAAAGCCTATGAAAAGGTACCAGGGGCATCTCATGGGGCCCCCTACTGACCCCGGGCCCTTGGGCAGTGCCCGAGTTTCCAAATGGTAAGTCCGCCCCTGTTCCAGATATACACAAACTTTCTTTCTATCTTTCTTCTCTCTCTCTTCTCTTCTCTCTCTCTCTCTCTCTCTCTCTTTCTCTCTCTCTCTCTCTCTCTCTCTCTTTCTCTCTTTCTTTCTTCTTTCTTTCTCTCTCTCTCTCTCTCTCTTTTTCTCTCTTCTTTCTCTTTCTTTCTTTCTTTCTTTCTTTCTTTCTTTTCTTTCTTTTCTTCTTTTCTCTCTCTTTTCTCTCTCTCTCTCTCTCTCTCTCTCTCTCTTTCTCTCTCTCTTTCTCTTTCTTTCTTTCTTTCTTTTTCTCCCTCCCCCACCACACACACACTTAAGCTGGCCATAGCCTCTCTTTTGATAAGCCAAGGAACTCCTCCATCTACACAAGCCAGGTGGATAGGAGAATCCTTGCTGTAAGGACATTATATTCTGACAAATGGACTCTCCTCTGTCAGAATACATTCAACAAAGGTTGACCTAACAATCTACTACTGTTGGACAGGCACAGCCACACATGGATTGAATATTTGATACATGCTACTTTCTCTTCCATCCAGATACCCACATAGAAGAAAAAATATATTTTAAAAATATTCTTCCCAAATATATTGCCTTATATTTGAAATGCAACAATTGTGAGCATATTCAATATATTTCATGTTGAAATGCGTTTTTATTATAAAAATATATGAAAAATATTTTTCAAAATATATTTCAAATATACTGTATGTCTTTAAAAATACAAATCTACATTTTTGGAATGCATTTACAGATATATGTAAAAATATATGTTAAAATGTTTTTTTATATGTTAAAAAAATCTGAAAAATACCCAATCCATGGACACACAAACCTTAACATACACAGCATCATGTGCTACCCTTACCCAACACTTCCCACTCCCCTGACATAGTAACCTGCTCAGAGGTCAGAAGACAATCTATTATATTGCTATCTCTTATACTCTGTATATCTGCTAAATTGCAATTCTCTATTGTTATATTGTCTCACTCTGTTATGATCTGTATTGTTTTTTAAGCCACGACCCGTCTGCGAATCGGGAGGCTACATGCTGTGTTTTTGCTCAGATTGTGATTCATAACTGTATATGCACTGTTAAAAAAAAAAAATTTTTTGAAAAAAAAAAAAAATTCAGAACAATATATTTAAAATATATATGTTTTTAAAAGTATATGTGTTTTTAAATATATTCTGAAGACTTTGTTTAACATATAAAAAAGTCATTTTAACATATATTTTTACATATATTTGTAAATGCATCCCAAAAATGTAGATTTGTATATTTAAAGACATACAGTATATTTGAAATGTATTTTTAAATATTTTTCATATATTTTGTAATAAAAACACATTTCAACATGCAGTATTTATATACATATATATATATATATATATATATATATATATATATATATATATATATATATATATATATATATATATATATATATATATATATATATATATATATATATATATATATATATATTTATTTATTTATTTACATATATTTTTAAATTTATTGAATATGGCCAAAATTGTAGCATTTCAAATATGGCAATATATTTGGGAAGAATATTTTTAATATATATTTCAAATATATATTTCTTCCATATGGGTAGTGCCTTTCTTTTTCATAGCTTTTTCACTAATTTCAGTTGGTTTTTGAAAGTGGGTGGCCAAAAATGAACTGGGCAGGGCTTATAACACTGCTTGAAATAACACTGCAACCAGTGCAGGATTGCTGGGTTTCTGGCAGGATCAACAACAGTTTATTTAAATATAAACATTTACAGCCAAATACTTTAAATCGTATATATTTAACAGAACAAAAGGGAGCAAGTAAGAGAATATTGTTAAGTTTTACACTACTTACTAAAGGAACTACAGTACTATGCTGACCATTTTCTTCCTTTCGGTCTCTTGCAGTTTCCTTCTTGGCTTAATATTATAATGCTTAGGAAATAAATTGTTTGTGCTCGGTTTTCACAGCATCCCAATGTTCATGTCAATGGGTTGCAATTTATAACTTTCTCTAAAGCTGAATGAACAATAGCTGATATGCACTATGCTGCTAATCTGAGCTCGTAAATAGGTGACAATCTCTTTAAACGCACATGAACACTAACTATGTACGGAAGTCAGTCACACATTAGTCAGCAACGATAAGTGCTATTTCTGTCCCTTTGCTTTCATATTTTCTTAAACCCACTGTCACTTATCAATCAAATATAGAAGCAACAAGAAAAATAATTTTAATCAGTATTCATCTACAGCTTGGCATATTAAACTCCATTGCAAGAACATATTCAAATTGTGTTATTTATAGTTTTAGGGAGCTAGAAGATGTTCCTGATTACCATATGCACTAGAAAAAGCTGGCATGCCTCAAGACAAGAATGTCATTCTGTGAATGAATCTAACACCTGCAGTACTGCAAATTGGCTGAATTGTTCTTTTTTTAGACTACGCTCAGAGCAAAATGCATATTTCATTTTTAGATCATTTTCCGTTATAAATGGGTAGAGCCATAACAACATACTGTACAGAGTATGTATCGATATACAATTTTTAAGATAACACATTAAAAAAAAATATTTTGAGTATATAGAGTATAATCCAGTGGCTGCCACTGATCACATATCCGAGATAAAATATGGGCACAGCAAAGCCTGTAGTGCATACAATCCAAAAGAGAGAGCTGCACTCATGGGTCTTGAGAGGTGAGCATACAGTGAAGATTTTATTTTGACAATTTGAATAAGCTCGTCTTCTTTAGGTCCAGGAGCAGATGCAGATTGACAACTCATGGGCCCCCGGGCAATAAGGGATCATGGGGCCCCTGTGTCCTTGCCCAAACTCAAAAAATCCTATGAAAAAGGTACCAGGGGCATCTTATGGGGCCCCCTACTGACCCCGGGCCCTCAGGCAGTGCCCGAGTTTCCAAATGGTCAGTCCGCTCCTGCACATAGCCCAAATTGCCTATTGAGTTTCTCTATGGATACTTGGGCTAAATGTATTTATACAGGTGTACATACTGTACAGAATATTCTCTATACAACGGAAGCATACACTCCTGGGAAGATTTATTGAATCATTTACAAGGTGCATACAACAAGGATTGGCCTATTTGCAGGCTGCAAGCACATCTGAAAAAGTCAAAGGAGTAAAACATTTAAGCATAAGAGACTGTAAATTACATATCTTGCCATTGTATTACTTTAAACAAACTGTCAAAATGTCCTAAACAAAAGCAAAAACCAGCAAGTAATAAGAAAACAGTGTAACACATAAGTAGCTACTGAGGCAAACATAAACAATTGTATTTATCCATATAGAGCAAAGATCTTCCAGAATATCCTAAAACACAAAACTAACAAATGAACAAGAGAAAGGATACCTAGTCTATAAACACACAGAAACAAGGGCAAGCCCAGAGCAACATTAAGTCCTCTCCACTTGTGACATCATTGCTTACTACATGTGAAATCTGTGAAAGATCACAGAGGTCACATGATACAAGGCTATTCACAACAGCCTTGTACCATGTGACAAGCTGTGACCAATCACAGCTCACTCAGTAGTTTTCAATGGCTGCAAGAATGCAGACAGAGAGAAAGAGAAATGATTGCTTTTACATCCTATATGGGTGTCAGGAATGGACTGGCCAGCAATGGTGGGACTCACCTGCCTTATGAGCTGCAGTACCAGGGCTGGCCAGCGGGTGCTCCAGCAATCAGAGACTCAACCTTGCAGCCAGCAAAACACCTGAAACTGCTTATGCTGGTGTATTTAAGGGATGGCCAGACCTGCAGACTCTGCCTTGGTGTATGTTTTTCCTGGGCCCTGTATCCTGTTCCTGCTTCCTGTTTCTGTTCCTGTTCCTATTCCTGTTCCTGTCTTGTTGCTGACCCGGCCTGATCTATACCTCTGCTGACTTCTGACCATGCTCTGACCCCGGCTCGTTCCTGACCATCCCTCTGCCTGACACTCTGTACCACTCTGCCCGCTACCTGCTGACCCTGGCTTGTGACCCCGACCATTCTCCGCTTGCTCCCCCTGTACCTACCTGTCCGATTCAACACGACCCGGCTGATATTGACCCGGCCTGCCTGACGACGCTCGCATTGTTTGTACTGTTATCTGTGGGTGGTTGGTTGGGTTTGTTTGCACTGTATTATGTTTAGTATTGCACTGCGTTTATGTTTGTATTGTTAGTGTTAATAAATCGTATTGTTTATAACATATCTGAAGTCTGCGTTTCCCTGCGTCAGTCACACACCTCTGGTCATACCCGGGAGCCCTGACATTACACCAAGGCCATCCTGACCAGAAGTGGCTGCACAGGGAAGCCATCTTGGTTTGTTGATGGGAAGGATGGATCTTGCTGAGGTTACGTATTTATATCTGCTAGTGTTTGATGACAGGGAGTATGCTTAGCAAACTCTGAAGGAGTATACCCGGGATGAACTGCTAGAATGTATACGGCTCGCTCATGTTCTAGTAGATCAGGGCACAGAATTCTCTGAGGTGCAGCCATTGATTGAGGTTTGTGCTGATTTGGTTTCATCTGGTACCCCCGAATGCAGGGATGAATTTTTGCCACCATTTAGTGCAGACCAGGTAGAGTCCCTGGTGTGGTTATTAGAGGATGATGTGGATTACTTTCTGGAGCGTTATTCCACATGTTCACCACAGGACACTAAGAGATTGTATAAACGCAGTGCAGTCTTTGGTCAGACAGGCTTTGTGTAAGCTCAGCTTTGTTCAACCCATACTGCAGACATGGACAGACTTGTTACACCCAGCCTCAGTCAGCTTACAAAGACCCAGTCCTGCTTCTAATCTATTTCCTCAAAGCTCTACTCCTGTATTCCCAACAACTCCTCCAGTTACAGCCCAGTATACTTGGCTATCTACCGCATGTCAGTACCCTGTTCCCACTCGCTGCACCTATCCTGCCTTTAACCCTGTAAAGAAGCCCTCTGTAGCGACTGTTCCATCCTCCAGCTCTTCTCTGTCTCCAGCTGCTTTTACTTGCAGTGCCCCAGTAGTTAAAACCAGAAAAAAGCGAAAATTCTTTCCAACCAGTACCATCCTGCCAGTATCCAAACCGGTGAGCCTACCCTCCGAGAACCTGCCTTCCGTGGTTCAGCCTGATGCCTCTCTTCAGCCTGAAGCCTCTACTCAGCCTGAAGCCTCTACTCAGCCTGAAGCCTCTACTCAGCCTGAAGCCTCTATCTCCACGTCTCCTCCGCCGGATGCTTCTACCCAGCATAATGAACTGATCCAGCCTGATGATCCTATTAGGCCAGTTGACTCGATGCCCGCTGTTGATCCAGATGATCCGGTACCTGATCCGGTGCCCGCTGTCGTGCCAATTGACTCAGAGCCCGCTGTCGTACCTGGTGACTCAGTGCCCACTGCTTTGCCAGATGACGCGGTGCCCGCTGGCGAGCCAAATGACCTGATGCCTGGTGACCCAGTGCCCGCTGTCATACCTGGTGACCCGATGCCCGCAGTCTTGCCAGACGACTCGGTGCCCGCAGTCTTGCCAGACGACTTGGTGCCCGCTGTTCCGCCAGACGACTCGGTGCCCGCAGTCTTGCCAGACGACTCGGTGCCCGCAGTCTTGCCGGACGACTCGGTGCCCGCTGTTCCGCCAGTTGACTCGATGCCCGCTGTTCCGCCAGTTGACTCGGTGCCCGCAGTCTTGCCAGACGACTCGGTGCCCGCAGTCTTGCCAGACGACTCGGTGCCCGCTGTTCTGCAGTTGACTCGATGCCCGCTGTTCCGCCAGACGACTCGGTGCCCGCAGTCTTGCCAGAGGACTCGGTGCCCGCAGCCTTGCCAGACGACTCGGTGCCCGCAGTCTTGCCAGACGACTCGGTGCCCGCAGTCTTGCCAGACGACTCGGTGCCCGCTGTTCCGCCAGACGACTCGGTGCCCGCAGTCTTGCCAGACGACTCGGTGCCCGCAGTCTTGCCAGACGACTCGGTGCCCGCTGTTCCGCCAGTTGACTCGGTGCCCGCAGTCTTGCCAGACGACTTGGTGCCCGCAGTCTTGCCAGACGACTCGGTGCCCGCTGTTCCGCCAGACGACTCGGTGCCCGCAGTCTTTGCCAGACGACTCGGTGCCCGCAGTCTTGCCAGACGACTCGAAGCCCGCTGTTCCGCCAGTTGACTCGGTGCCCGCAGTCTTGCCAGACGACTCGGTGCCCGCAGTCTTGCCAGACGACTCGAAGCCCGCTGTTCCGCCAGTTGGCTCGGTGCCCGCAGTCTTGCCAGTTGACTCGGTGCCCGCAGTCTTGCCAGTTGACTCGGAGCCCACTGTCCTGGGGGCCCGGTGCCTGCTGCTTGCCTGGTTTGGGCCCCGGGGCCCGCTGCTCCCCCTGGGGGCCCCCCTGCCCGCTGCTTTGCCTGGTAAACCCATTTTTTTTTCCTCTGCCCCGGGGTCCGCCCGATGTGGGTTGCCCGGAAAATCCCCCGATGTGCCCCCGCCCGGGGCCATCCGATGTGCCTCTGCCCGGAGTTCCAAACCCGATGTGCCTCTGCCCGGAGTTCCCCGCCCCCTTTTGCCTCTGCCCGGAGTCCAGCCCCATGTGCCCCCTGGGCCCGGGGGTCCGCCCGATGTGCCTCTGCCCCGGGTCCAGCCCTATGTGCCTCTGCCCAGTCCAGCCCCCGTGCCCTCCTTGCCCGGGTGTGCCTCTGCCCGGAGTCCGCCCGATGGTTTCCCTCTCCCGATGTTTCCCTGCCCCAAAACCGCCCGGGTTTTTGCCCTTCCGGTGTGTGCCCTGCCCGGTGTGCCGCTCCCGGGTCCGGGCCCCCTGGCCCCCTGCCCCGGGGTCCTGCCCGGGGGGCCATTTTTTATATCCCGCCATTACCAACCCGGGGGGGTG